TCATTAAAAAAACTTTTAGTTATTTTGCACATTCTACATGACTGTGTTAAAACTTCAGTTCAGAATTGAAAACGTCACAAAAAATGTTTAAAATGTCAGCAAAAGTGACTAAATGAGCGCAGCTTAATCCCCAAAGAGGGCTTCTGGGGATTACAAATGACTGTATATCGCTGTCATGAAGATATAAAATTCACGGTTAAATATTTTAAAGCAGTTCAACTTGTAGTGGTGTATGAGCAAAATCTATCTAAGACTAGGAATCACTCTTACTGTACTTCGTTTCCCTCCCAAATAACCGTTAAAAAAAAAAAAACCTCTTGGAGACTGCACCCTCGTGGCCTTGGTGCCCTTGCCCTTCTTCTGTCCATCTCTTGACATATTCCGCCCCTTTTTTCTTCCTCCTACCTCTTTCTCTCTTTTTTCCATTTGGTTTCTAGGGGCTTAATTACAGGGGGCCGGCTCCGTGGCTGAGGAGGTGCGAGGCGAACAGGGATCAGCGTGACCCTGGAGGAGAAGCCATCAGACAGCGGCCTTAACAATGATAAATCACCCTGAGCAGAGCTACAGATACAGCCGCCACCCCACTGATCTCTATAAAATATGGATGGACCTGCAGGAGGAGGAGGAGGAGGAGGAGGAAGGGAGCAGTATCACGGCAGATCTTCAGATTAGCGATTATCAGGCGTAGAGGTATTCTAATGATCTGGGACATGGTGTGGGGTTAATTCCATTCAAAGGAAACGTATTAAAATTCAGCTCATGAACTGAATTCTGCTCATTATTCTCAATGAATACTGAAAATCTCCTCATTCATGAAGTGGGCCGGAATTAATAATCCCTGAACGGATGGACGCCCCCCCACAAGTCCGGATGAGGGTCAATGATCAGAGCTAAAGGTGCACACTCAACACGCTAAACACATTTAATCTCCACCCCATGGTTCACAAATCTTCATGGACCTCATGTTAACAGTAGCGTTTGTTTTTAACAACAGGGTGTCCCGTATTTTAAACAAATCTCCAACATTTATAACCTGATCCCTTTTATAGATAAAATTATATGAAACCTGATTAAACGACAAATTAAAATTAACGTGAGTGCGGTTTCATGTCTGTCCACAGCACACACAGAGTTAGTTTGGGTAGTTTGACAAACTGGGAAAGACAACTGGTCACTGATGACCTCTGGGGTTTCTCCTGGATCATTTTCAGCCCTGTAATTTCATTTCCAGCCTGACTGGGCTGGAAGCGGACACCTCAGCGTCCGTCCGTCCGTTAGCGGGCGCATTGCGTTTAGAAGCTCAGGACAAAACAAGATATTGTGATGGAGATTTTTCTCTTCCTTGTACCATTTTTAAAGATCAAACAATGATTTACACAATAAAGAAAAAGCAGAATAATCAATAATGACCTGAAGTAATTAAAAATCTTACTTCTACATTTCTACATAGAAGCGAGATATCGTCTCACATGAAGCTAACAGTTGTTTTTTTTGACATAGCTTTGGAGCTAAAAGACTAACTGTTTGAAATGTGTCGTGAAGTTCAGAGAATGAGAGCTTTTAAAAGAGATAAACTGTCAAGTTAGTTTAGCTTTTATGACTAATATGACTAAAAAATTATTATAAAATAGCTTAATCTCATTTATTTTATTACAATTACAGCTAATAAACAACTGCAAAACGACTTTTAATGCATCAGCAAAAATAAGTAAGCTAGTTTTGGTTAGTAATACACAAGTTGGGACGTTCTGTCTGAGCCATTTCTAAACAACTGCGGATTCTATCAGTTCAAACAACTGTACGTGAGCACAGTTATACGTATGTGTCAGCACTTTGCTGGAAGAAGATCCAAACTGTCACCCTCAGATGATAGGAAATTGTTTAGGATGTTCAGGAACCACCGAGGCTCAAGCCTGCCCTAAAGCCGGATCTGTGCCAGAAACCCAACCAGTTTAAATGAACTTGACCAGTTCTGCTAAGAAGTGCAGTCAGATATGCAGCCAGAATTATGCCAGAAGTTTGCCGATGGCTACCAAAAGCATCTGGTCAAAGTGCAACTTGCTAAGGGATGTTTAACCAAACATTAGTGAGGTTGTTTGTATTTGAGCCTGTATATAACCTTTGACCCTGTGTGGATCAGAGAAAACCCAAAATAAATTCAGATTTATGGATCTAATTCTTGTATTTTAGCAGCAGTTCAAGAAAATCCTAAAAGCCCAAAGTTACCACGACATACATGCCCAGCTGTACTCTTCTAAACACGACTCTTGTTAAAATCCTATTATCTGCTGATTTCTGTATTGTGTGACTAAATTATTGCGCTGGAAAGCGAAATGAGCAGAGGAGGTCCACCTTAAGACGATCATTTTGTTCAGTATTGTGTCTGAACGGTCGTCACCTAATCGCGCTTCCTGCTAAGCTAGGCCGAACGGCATTTTCCCATCTTTCAGCTGAAATCAGCCTGATGTTTCTCCTTCTGGCTTCCATATTCACCCTGCTTGCTGCTCCCATAATGCTCTACCTGACGTCTACAACGAATCAATCTGTTCAGCGGCGCCGTGCCTGTCCAAAAACGAAACCCAGCCGCCCAGACATCTCTGTCCACACCTGCTGCTGCTGCTGTCCTCTGCAGAGCGGCAGCTGCAGGTGAAAACAAAAGAGAAGTGACAACTCGAGTTAACCCGTCGCTGCTCGGTCACTGCCAGCACGCCGTCCTGTCACCTCGCGGAGCGCCGCTCTTCCTCTTCCCGTGATTCCTCTCCCTCCAAAACGTCCAGGAGGGAGAAACCTGCAGCTTTATTGAGTTTTCTTTTGAATAAATAAATATTTAAAGGGAGAGGATGAGGGAGGAGGGTGTTTGACGTCCCACTCTGGCTGCAAATCAGGCCATCAAAGGGGCCAGACAATGTGTGCTCGCTATTAGTATCAATTTACAAATAAACTGCTTTTTTGGTGACTGGATCTCCGATGTCAGATTTTGATAAATGGTTTCAATTTGGCAGCTGTTTTCGAGTGTCAGAGCCCATCTGACGCTCGCCGCCAGCCGCCGCTGCTCGCTGCCTCAGAGAATCTGCCTCAGTTAGCTCCTCGCAGCCGCTGCAGCCAGAATAATCTCTTCATACTAACCAGGACGCCTGATGGCTGCACGCCGTGCCTCTGTGTGAGCATACAAATGTCGTTCTGTGGGTGACACCAGCTCCCTGATTTCAATATTCTCGACTTTGTCTTAAAGGAGCATTTCTGCACTTTTAAATCCCTCTTCCTCACCGCCTTTCTCCAAAAAGCCCGCAGAGTTTAACAGACCCTGTTTCCACTTCCACGTAGAGATATAAATTTACCACCATAAACTTTAAATAAAGGCGTAAAAATTGGCTTAGTTTTTCCATTCTGCTGCCATTTTCAGGTCCAAACTCTTCTCCCCGGGCGCCCAATGGCTGCCCACTGCTTCACTGAGTGAATGGGTTAAATGCAGAGAGCAATTTCCCCACGGGGCTCAATAAAGTACAATAATGTACACACTTTCTTCTTCTTCAAACAACAAACAAACAAACAAAGGCTGAGAGTTAAAAACAGTCCAAATTCTTCCAGCTAAAGTGGAATGATCACTGTGCTCGTTCTCACATAAGATGTAGGCTGTAATCGAGTTAGGAGGCTGCTGGAAGTTAGATAGCGAGCTTCCATTGTATATTTCTAAAAACTGAAACGTACATCTCTAAAAAAAACTAAACAGCAGTGATGTTTGGACAGTTGGTGTAGCCGGGGTAGTTAACACTAGACAAACATCACACAGTGGTCAGTTCTGCTCATCTCCAGCTTTCTTGGACTCTACCAGAGCAGCTTTGCATGATTCAGACCTCAAAATAATCCATCTTTATGTGATACAACCCCTCATGTCTTCTGATTGGCTGTCCCACATAAACAGAAGGTTTGTGTGCCTGAGATGATCAGATAAACAGGATATCCCCGCCCTCAGTGACACCATACAGATCCAACACTTTAAACATGCGACTGCAGCGTTTCCAGCAGAATAAGACTTGTTTATGTCCACGTCAGATAAACTAAACTGAAAATGTTCAGAAGACCTTTTGATCTTCCTGAAACTGGACAAAGCTGCTTTAAAGTTTTAATGGAACAAAAGTTTTGTGTTCATTCTCTTTAATAAAGACACAATCTGATTGTATCTGATGCTTGTATTTCCTGTAGTAATGAGGCACATGTGGACCAGTTGCACAAAATAAAACCAGAGTTTGTACGCTTAAAGGAAAACTGAAAATTAATGAAGAGTTTTGACGTCTATGTTGACGTCCATCACAAATCACAAAGGAAACTAATCAAATCAAATGTTTCTTTTTTAGTTAAAGGCATCGAGCACGGAGCTTTGATTATACGAGACATTTTAAAAATGAAGTTTAGTTAAACTTTGTAATTCATGAAATGTTTTACACCTCCTCCACTTTTAGGTCCCAGAGTTAATTTACATAATTCTGATGTTTTTTTCTCTCCCTGGGCTTCTGAGAAGCCAAACATCGCCAAACCGATCACGCTTGACGACCATCCGCGCCCTCCTCCTCGCCAGTTGAGGGGAAACAAAACGCAGCGAGAGCAGCAGCAGCAGGATTTGCTCCCATAAACAGCTGTTTCCTGTTTGAAGGCTCGGGAACAATCTGGCCCGCTGGCAGCGAGGAGCGCCGCACCGTGCCAAGAGCGTACCGAGCAGAACCAACAAATCCAATCAGGCGACTCGAGTTCGGCCCTGTGCTGCATTAGAAGCCTTCAGCTCACAGCGCAGGTGGTCTACGGCGTCCATGGAGGGACAAAAAGCCACTTCAGTTTGAAATCAGCCCTTAATGTGGCCCTAAACCCGATTAAAGCGCCCAATTAGCAGCAGCCTTGAATGACAGGTGCATTATGGGTCATACCTGCCAGACTTAAGCCAACCTCCTGGCCTTAAATCTGACCTTTGACCCACAGCAGCAAGTTAATGAGTTGTCTTTACTGACCTTAGGTAACCTCTCAGGGTCTCCGGGGTGGCGAGGGATGACCTTCTGTAGCCTCTGGAAGCCGTAGTCGATGGTGGGCTCGTTCAAGGCTGCGGGACAAACAGAAACAGGAGAGAGGGTTTATTTAACCCCACACGCGTCTGACAGGAACTCAGCTGATTGTTGCAGTTCTGCAGCTTTCATCTTCATCATCATCTTTGTGTGGTCATTTTACTCTTTTTTGGTACTTCCATTTGTCTCTTTTTCAAAGGTTTATCTTTTGCCGTAGTTCCTGTAGTCCTTTTTCTTCTTTTTCTGTATTTTTGTCTCTTTGCATGGTAGTTTTACCTCTCATTGTTGTATTTGACACATTTTAACGTTGTATCTGTGTCACTGCATTGTCCTAGGTTTGTTTTGCGTGTTGTAGTTTTATTTTTTTTGTGGGACTTTCAGATCTTCCAACTGTGTCTTTGCATCATTCAGGAGTTTTTTATGTGTCCTGGTAGTTTTCCCTATTTTTCTAGCTGTTGCACCTCTTACTGTACTTTTGCATCTTTTTTGAGTCTTTTGCTCTGGTCAGGATGGTCTTTTTTTAACAACATATTTCAGCCTTTCCTTCTTCTGCGATTGTGCTGAAATCGAAGAAAATAAAAACACGTCCCCAACTCGTGAGATGTAATTTTAATGCAACATTGTCGAAATGTGCTCGTCTTTTTGCACACGCGTGCAAAAGCCAGGTTTTTCTTGACTTCCTGTCATTTCCTGAAGTTTAAACTCAGCAGGGATCGTTTCACCTCCCTCTCCTCTGATCTCCTGTTGGTTCGTGTTAGCGGTGAGCGCTAACGGAGAGGGCGAGCGAGCGCCGTCAGCTGATCTCACTCTCTCTTATCTCGGCTGCTGTTTATCAAGTGCGAGACCTCACACTCCACCTCTCCTCCACGGCTAATTCAATCCAGCCTCCCCTCCACCGAGCCCTCTCTCTCTTTTCTTTTCTCCTCCACTCATTCACCTCCGCAAACAATCTGCCTTCCTCCTCCTCCTCCTCCTCTCTCCATATGCACTGAGCAGAGCTGGAGAAACACCCGGAAATGAGTTCGGGGAGATACTTCTCCATAATCAAGCCCATTAATCATAAAAGGCTGTCAAATTTGACTTTGGGGACAATTTGTCAGCCGATCTTGCCCACTCCGCTTTTGTCACCGTTGGCTCTTGTATTCTGTAAGGATGATTGACACTCCAAATGCTGCTGAGTAGAATAGCTAGTTTGCGCTAATATGCATAACCGTGGCTTTCATGAATAAGAATAAGGCAGCTATACGGCGGCACAGAGGGGTCTCCTTCAAAGGGCCCCGCCGCCGTTTGTCGCCAGCGCTCCAAATAGATGTTATTACCATTATAACAATATTTGTTTTCTTTTCCCGGGAATAGGCAACGGCGAGCTGCTAAATCAAATTTGTCGGAGCCCGTTTCAAGCGGCGGCGGAGGAGAAAAAGGGCTTTCAGGCTGCAACTGGGGTGGGGATGATATCTGAAGGGTGACAGAGTGCTGAGGGACGTGGCCCTCGCCGCAGGGGCTGCCATGTTGGATTCCTCGCCTCCCCGCCTCCCTGAGAGGAAGCAGAGAGCAGCGCGGCCTGAATCTATTACCTCGGCCCGCCGCGAATGAAAGAGCGATTCATTGCAGGATCCCAAAGAGACTTTTTGGGGGGATGCGGAGCAGCAGAGGATGAATGGAGATAATGCACCGGGACGACACGAGCAGCAATCAGCGGTGAATCCCAAACTGGATTGCCTCCTGACGCTGCGTACATACATCCCAACTTATAAAACAAGTGAGAGGCACTATGGGAACTGCTGCAATAGAATAAAAAACCCATTTACACTCGGAGGGAGGGGGGGGGTCTGTGATGGTTAACTCGCCACCTCCATCAGAAGAGGAAGTATTCTCCTCTCTGACCTCCAAGCTGATCCGAGATGTTGAGAAATGATGCTGATGTGGTTCAATCGAAGGCGACATGTCTGCAGATAAACATCAAAAAACCCGGAAACTTCCTCAGCGCCAAAAGTTCTTCGAGATCTCTGAGATCCAAGTCCCCGATCTGTGCTAAAAGTCTTGGAAAGAATCTGGGAACACGAGCCTCATATCTCTGTCCTGGTCCTCTCTCTCCTTAGTTTGGACACATTTTCTGTCTGCGAGTTGCTGGTTTGAAGATTTTCTGTTTTTTTCACTTTAGTTTTGCCTTCAAAGCAGAATTAAAGTTGCTTTATTCGTCTTGTTATGTGTTGGGATGACTTTAATGTGGCATTTTTCACAAGCACTTGACAAAATTTTATTACTCAATGACAAAAATAAAATACAAAATATTGAAGTTTGGAAAACAAAATATTGTTTTAGGAACAAGTACATGGTTGAGAAGCCTGGTTTTATCTGTCAACCTCCTGCACATGGGCTCATCGCCAAACGTGTGGATGTTATCACTGTGATATCATCCAACATCAGCAGCTTTCCTGCCACCATGTTGTTTCTTCAGTGTAAGTAGTGACACTAATGCTAACAAGCTGCATCCACAGACACAAATACCTGACAATTAGTGCTCAGCAACAACCAAATAAAATCCTAGAATTCAGCAAAACCGGACCTCAGATTTCTTAGACGGTCTGTTAGTACAGTGACCTCACAGCAGCCCTTTTATTGGTCAGATCAGGTCATTAAAAATGATCCAAAAGGCTCCAACAGCACAAACACAGCCCAGAGGTCCAGTTCAGTTAGTCGAGGGGAAGCCTAGCTAACTGAACTGTAACCATACAACTGTAAGTCAAAGAGGCCACGCCCCTAACAATACAAACTTTGAGCCTGAATATAATTTAAACAGATAAAATGTTGTAAATGGGAAAATTAGAAATTCTTCTGGCCGTAAACGTGTTTACATGGGAGTCTATGAGGACTGAGTCCTGGAGCCTCCGGTGGACGTCAGAGGAACAGCACTTTGGTTGACGCTTGGTTCACACTTAAACTCTTGGACACCAACATTCAGCCACTGACAGATGTGGTTTATTTCTGAAGTTTAAAAACTGATGAGAAGTTTTATTCTGAAAGGTCTAAAGGAGCTGCTCTGGTTTGTAGAGTCCACACCGCCCTGGGCTCTGACGAGTCCACACCGCTGTGGGCTCTGATGAGTACATTGAGTGTCTCAATAAGTCGAGTTGGTTTGATAAAACATCTGGATTCAGACGCCTCTCTCCAGAGACGTGACGGCGCTCTGAGGTTGCGATCGTTGCTGGAGGTGGAGACGACCACAGACGGAGAATGAAACAAAGACAGAAGTTTTAATGAACCTCTGATGGGGATCGACCCCCCCTACAGGCATTAAGCCCATTACTTTGCCTTATTAAAATCTCGCTGCACTTTGACCCCAGCACCACATTGGCTGCCTGCAGGGCCCCGTGCTCCTCCCAGCCAATCGATAAAGACCGCCTCCTTCCAAAGGAGCCAGTGTAATTGGAGAATGGCGGCTGGCAATGCGAACCCTGACCCCCCCTCCCCCCACCCCACCCCACGCATTACACCGCCCATATGAAGACAGATTGCCTGATTTAGTGTAAACATATGCTGCAATTCCAGGCATCAGTGCCACTTTCTCCATCGTAATTTGTATTGATTTTTCTCTGCTCCTCTTTGTTCAGCGCGAGGAGGCCACGGCCGTCGCTTTCTCCTGCCGTCTGATGCTTTTTATAAATCAGAAAAGGAGCAGAGGAAGATAATTCAGAGGTGAGAGGAGAGCGGGAGAGACAGAGGCGAGCGAGAGGAGGGGATTTTTTATATATTTCATCAAGTATTTATCTCTCTCCCTCTCTCTTTGGATCCCTTTCTCTGCCCTCGCTGTGAAGGTGATCAAATGGTCGGCCGGCGTCCTGCTGAGCGGCACGCTCCGTTATTAGACCGCTAAGTGACTGAGGAGAGGAAGAGAAGAGAAGAAGGGGGAGGCGGATCACATTTGAAACTAATTTCTTCACGGCATATCTGGAGTGTCGGAGAGGAGGAGGATATTTTACACACTTACAGGAGAGACGTTCACTTCCTGCTCAAACACCCAGCAACTACTGCTCGATTAATAATGTCTGAACAATCAAGACAGAAGCTTTAAAAAAAGAGTCAAATAAAAGCAGGAGACACATAAAATTTACAGAAGGTGATAAAAAGTAACAGGATGAGAAAGAAGGCTTTAAAACAGAGCGAAATGCTGCAGGATGAAAGTGAGGATGTAAAATGTATCCATGCTGGACCTCCATGGGTCTGAGGGCTCAGGCTTTTTAAAGTGACCACTAGTGCTTCATGAGACGGCTAAAAACTATACTGTGACACACACAGTCCCAGAAAAAACAAAAACTGGGCAAAAACTTAAAGGTCAGACTTAAAATTCTGGAAATGAGTCTGAAAACTTTCAATCACTGCATCCCTAATTACACAGCTTTTATTGTGAAAGGGTGCAGCCACACTGAAGAGCGAATGAATCAAACGCGCTTGTTTTAAAGCTGGAGCCGCAGATCTGGATTCTTGTCTCGATGCTTCTCCTGCTGTCAAACTGACCACCTGGTGCTTCTCACCTGTCCGGCTTCGCCCTGACAGCGAGCTGAAGGGGAAGCTTCCTCTTCCTCTCCTCGCTCTGGTATCATTCGCCGCTTCTGGCTGCAGATGGCGGCTGATCACAGATCAGAGGATCAGAGCTCTGGGAGGGAGGACGGCGGATTACTGAAACATCTCAGCAGGCTCATTACCCCGCTCGCTTCGGCTCCCACAATCCAGCAGGGCGCCGTGCTTCAGAGGAGAGCCCGCCTCTGTTTACATCCTCCTCCTCACTACTGTTTACATTTATCTTTCATTTGCTGCTCCTCGCCTTGAATCTTCTTTTCCACGCCGCTGGTTTGTATATATTTACCAGCCGGAGATGAAATCCGCACTTTAGGGTCTCTGCTCACCTTTACTGTTTTTGTTTTGGCGTTCACGGCCTCGTCGCAGGCGCTCTCGTGTCCCCGATGAGCCGGCAGACTTCAGTGCTGCGTGGTTTCCTCCTGTATTACTCTCATCATTTCAAATAGGCGCCGCTCATCCG